GGGCTACTACTATTTATTATAATACTATTTTTTTTACACAGTAGATGAAAATCATCATCTCCGTCGAAGATGGATCATCCCTCCCTCAACTCCTAGCTTCTCATTATCAGAAAATGAATCTAGAATTTAATTAAACTCAATTCAGGGCATGACCAGCAAGCTAAAAATACGTGTACAACAGTTTAAGTTCAAGTCTCAAGACACCTCCGGATTCTTGAATCCGGGGAAATAATACTCTTATTTACTCTCCGGAAGGCTGAATTCACGGTTCCACCACCCTTGACCGTTGGCGTGAATGGCTATGTAACGATTGTAGCGACACAATCTTTACAACTCGGAGCGGTCTCTGCTAATACTGTGTCGTATTTTTCTATTTCTCGTCGTTGTTTCTATCGCAACTATCGTTGTTGTTGTGTTTTTCTCTGATTTTTCTCCAGAATGGCCGTTTCAGTTTTTCTCAGAAATATGACGTCGCAAAAATTTAAAATACCAGAATATTCTGACTTTCACAGTTTTTCTAATCGTTCAAATAACGTCACTAATCTACTAAAACTGCCAATTCTCAAGGTCAGCGGCCACCAATTCGAAATTGCACTTTTGTCCATTCTGGTGAAATGTCACATAATTTTTTAACACGATGGTTTAGAACCAATATTTGGTGAAATTTTGTAAAGAAAATTTGTAAATGGATGTATGTTGTTGTTGTTGTTGTTGTTGTTGTTGTTGTTGTTGTTGTTGTTGTTGTTGTTGTTGTTGTTGTTGTTGTGGATTCTCAGAAGTACTTCTGATGGGACTGCTCCCAGTTCGTTTCTTCTTAAAACGTCTTCCATACATCCCTGCAGTTTCGACAATCACAAAACAGTATCCATGTGCAAGGATTCGCCTCATTGAATTTCGCCATTTTATAGGTCCACATAAAATTCAAAAGTCTGTTTTTTAGCCCCGTGGGATTGAAGAAATCTACTGTTCCAGGTAGATGATTGGCCACCCGAGACAGCCTGAAACAAAACTCAGCGCGAGCTTTTTCTGTGCGGACTTTTTAAAGGCTTAATGTCGGGCCGTCATTTTGTCTTGTATTTGAGGCAGACTTGTTGGTTAATAGCCCTATTTGTAAATCGTTTTCACTGTGAAAAAAGCTCGATAGATTCAATAGATTGCATAGCTGTATGAACATAGTAAGGGGCAATGTATTCGTTCGTTTCAACAACGTTAGATAATCACTCTCATAACTGTTTGTTACCCATTTTAGCGCTCTTTTCTGGAATCGTTCAAGTTTTGATAAATTTGCGCGGCATATATTAAAACACGAAGATGCAAATGTTATAAGTGGTAATACCGCTGACTTGTAAACACCCAATTTTACTCTCTGTGAAACCCTTTTGCCACATTTCTTTTAGCAAAATAGAAAATCTGATTAGCTTTTTTCATTCTCGCCATTAGATGATTTGACCAGCTTAGGGTTTTATCAGTATGTACCCCCAAATCTTTTATTGTTTCTACTGATTCAAGCATATGCCCATTGATTTGAATTGAATTTGAGTTTCCTCGAAAAATCAGCTCTTTGCATTTGTCAGGAGCCAACTCCATTTTGTTTCCGTTCACCCATTTTTCTAAAGCCGATATATCTGATTGTATTTCAAATTTGGATAGGCCCGCCGAGAAAAGTTTTAAATCGTCTGCATAAATGAAGGGAGTAGTGAATTTTAGCACTTCTGGCAGGTCATTTATAAAAATGCAAAACAGTAACGGCCCCAGCAGAGACCCTTGAGGAACTCCACTTGTAACTAATTTAGAAGAGGATGATACATTGTCACATTTTACCCACTGCGTTCTGTTTTCAAGATAGCTCGCTAAGACTTCCAAAAAACACCCCCCTACTCCAATATTCGCCACTTTTTTCAACAATTCAAAATGGGGCACTTTATCAAATGCCTTGGAAAAATCGGTGCAATAAACGAGCACTTCATCGTTCGGATTTTTATCCAGCGCCTCGTAAAATCGTTGTAAAAATGCTAACAGATTAGTTACAACCGACTTTTTTTAAACAAAACCATGTTGACTTGATTTCATGTATTTTTGAAAGTGATCGTAAAGTGGTTCGTACATGCATTTTTCGAGCACTTTAGAGATAATTGTTAATAACGAGACAGGTCTGTAGTTTTTTATTTGTCTTTTGTCGTCTTTTTTGTGTATGGGCGAAATAGCAGCACTTTTCCAGAATTTAGGTACACATCGTACCCTCTTGATATTTTTGAAAATAGCATTTAAAATGGAGCTCATCGGTTTAGCTAAACTTTTCAAAAAACAAGGCGGCAGGCCATCCGGGCCTTTACTTTTTGTTACATCCAGTTTAGTCAACAATTCTCGGATTTTGTTTTGAGATATCTCAAAATTTATGAGGGAAGCATTTTCGCAAGCAATGTCTGTTACTTTAAAATTCAATTTCGGAGTAAATACAGAGTGGAAAAAATTATTTAATTTTTCGACTTTCTCAGTTGACTCCTTATATTTAATTCCATTTCACGCGGTAGGCTCGACTTCTGCTTTTTCAAGTTTTTGAAATGTTTGAAAATCATGTTAGTATTTTGAGAACCTAAGATACTTTCTTGGTACTCTACTCGTTCTAGTTCCATATTTTGCATTAAACTGTTTTCAAAATTCGTTATCGTTTCCTGCAAGTGGGGAGTAGGCCTTGAGTCGAATTGTTTTCGCTTTGTTTCTAGAATTTTAGTCAAATTTGAAGTCTTTGGACTCACCCAAGGCGGTAATTTTTGTCTATGCATGGTTCGTTTTGGAACAAAATTTGAAATTAGATTGTTGATATATTCGTACATTTCGTCAGACATTCTATCGATATTTGTAAAACAAATAGGTGAAAAGGAATATTTCTGCATATAATCAATCATGCCATCATAGTCCGCCGAGCAAAAACTATAAAAAATTTCTTTGACTGGTTTTTCGTCTTGAACATCTATTTCAATTTTCAGCGATATAGGTCTGTGATCTGTTATATTATAGCTTTTTTCAAAATTCGTGCAAATTTCAGCGAAACCCTCCAACCCCCTCAATAGAGCGACATCTAATATATTTGAACCACAAGTTGGAAATTCAATTATTTGATTCATTTCTGCTTCGTCTACTAATTCCAAAATTTCATTTTCATATATACTCGTGCTTTGGTTAATTCTCCAATCCGTTTGAGGGAAATTTATGTCGCCACATAAAAGAATATGATGATTTTTAATGGGGACAATCGAATCAAAATTCTTTTTGAAATCTTCAAAATTATATCTGTATTTGCTATCTTCTGGGGGATTGTATACGCAAAAAATCACGAAATTAAAATTGTTCACTTCTATTTCAACCGCTAATGCACATTCTGGTAGATCTAGATTTAGTTTATATGAATTAAAACAATCTCTTACTGCGATAAGAACACCACCGTGATTCGAAGTGTTACCTGTTAATTTGCGGTCCGCTCTATAAACAGAATATTCAAGTCAGGGAGTTCAAACTCAAACTCAAACAGTCAAACATCAAACTCAAACTATTCCTTTCAAACTCAAACTGAAACTGTAGACGTCTATATTCTCAAACATCAAACTCAAACTCAAACCCTGCCTGTTTTTGTGTAGGATTTTTTCCGTAAGAAAATCGCGCATTATTTTTTAATTTCGTGGATCTTTGACATTCTATTACTATCAGGCATTTCGAATCGGAGTCGAATAATCGGTTCGAATAATTTCAGTGCTGTGAATGTCGGGAGAGAATGCTAATGATGCAATCCTGCGCCAAGAATGGAAGAAGCCGACTTCTACAAGCAATTCAGTTCATGATTTTTATTTGGTTGAATATGTTGGTGGACTAAAAAAAGATCGCCGGAAATGTATGACAAGAATGTGTGTTCTCTTTGACAAGAATTTCTCGAAACTTTTTGCAAAATTGCATGTTGCCCGAAAATCAAGCAAGAAATGCTTTCTTGAATAAAAACTGCTATCTCTTTAACTGATTTACTTCTGTTACTTGTTAATTGCTACTGTTGCTAATTGTTACTGTTAATTGCCAATAAATGGTAGATTTTTGTTGTTTTGGTTTAAATGCAATTTGGTCATTTTCAATAGAATCTACGCAAAAAACGGTGTATGTCATGCCAAGGTTAAAGACATGAAAATTGAGTGTCAACATAAAAAATTCAAACTCAAACTCAAACATCATTTCACTGTTTGAGTCAAACTCAAACATCAAACTCAAACAGAATTTACTCAAACTCAAACTTTAAAATCCAATGTTTGAATTCCCTGATTCAAGTAGCATGAGTTCAGTGTCTTCAATTCGATCATTTTGCCAGGTTTCAGTCACTAAAAGTACAGATGCTGCACAATGAGATACAGCTGAAACAAATTTATTTTTTCGGTAAGCGCATTCATTTTTGAATTGAAAATTTGTTCTATCGTGTTTTCGATTACAGGCTTTAGGGTATTGACGACCGGAATAAATTTGCTCTCAATAATATCAGTAGTGAACTTATCTTTAAATTGCTGAATTGTAGCATCTTGAACAAAGTCGTTGCTCTTGTTGTTTGCTACACAGTCGTTGCAGAGAAGCATGACCCTCGTTCCCAGTTCCCTGATTCAATTGACTGCCACAGGTGTCAAAACAGTGCATGTAGTATCAAGATGCATCCTTGCGTCACATCCCGCACAGTGGTACATTTCAGCAGAAGACATCATTGGTTTACGGCATGATTTGCAGCTATGACGTTGATTTGACATGTTTATATGAAACTATTTAATAAGTGTACATAAGTTTTGTTTAGATTATCGTCATTTAGATAAGTTTTGTTGAAATCCTTACGGATTTGGTCAAAATACTTTAAAAGTGTCATGTAATTCTTAAAACATAATTACATGACACTGTCTTGGTCAAAATACTTTTTTTTTATTTCTTGATTTCGTTTGTGATTTACTGACTGTTCACTATGTTAGTCTAATTTTCAGAGTAAACATGGTTGCTTACGCTTTGAGTAGTAAAACCTTGTCAGTACCGATGAAATTGTTCACCAAAAATCGGCTACGGCTATGTGATCAACTTGCCGGAAAAGTATCACGAAAAGCTTTCATACTACTGCAAGCTGGAAACGATACATACCGCGGCTTTACTTCTGACGCGGAGAATGCGTTTCGTCAAGAATCAAATTTTCATTGGTGCTTTGGGGCTATCGAGCCTGACTTTTATGGTGCTATTCATGTCAAGACATGTAAATCTATTCTTTTTGTTCCCAAACATCCACCTGATTATGAAATTTGGTGTGGTGTAATACACAATTTGGAACATTTCAAAAATAAGTATGAGGTTGATGAGGTTCATTATGTGTGCGACATGTTGAGCGTATTGAAAGCGAGTGCTGATGAATTGCTGCTCTTGAAGGGATTAAATACCGACAGTAATCGAATCACTGAGCCTGCATATTTCAAGGTGTGTTAACAACTTTCTTTAAAGTTAGCAGGTTGTTTCTATTTGATAAAACCAGAATAGATGATTTCTTTCCCGGAAGAACAGGCCATTTTTAAATTACTGCTAGTAATTTTTGCTCTGTCAGCGTAATCTTGTCTCAAGTTTTTTTGGACGTCGTCCAGATCATGTTTGTTCTGATCACCTCATGGGAGGGGGTGTTTTTTCCCAATACCGTAAGGAAAGCTCGTACGAGGTGTATTGTGGTAATACATTAAAAACCTGCCTGAAGTTAATTGGGTTACAAAAAAGTTGTCTCAGTGTCGGAAAAAATGGGTTTTCAAGCCAAACTTCCCGAAGTTTGGTGATACTGAGAATTCAGTTTTTTTGATACTTAATTTAAATCTACTTCAATTTTACATTGTTTTAGCTCAAACTACTTCTTATACTGCAGTTTTTAACCAGTTTTTTTTGCCCTTTTCCAAGAAGTTGCACAGAAATTTTAAAAAATTTTTCCTAAAGTATTTTTGTTGGGAAGTAGTAATCTTGATAGCCGGTACTACATGCGCAACACTGGCTATTCTTGCCAGATGAGTCGCTTTTATTTTGAGCTTTTTGACCGATTGATTTTTTTGCAAGGGAATCGATTCATTCAAGCAAAATCTGGATCTTCTGTACCCTGCGCTGAGTGAGCTACGTGTTTTTAAAACCCCAGAAGAAATTGAAGTGATCAAATATGCGAACAAGATCAGTAGTCAAGCACACAAGGCTGTCATGCAAAGCATGAGACCGGGCCTGTTCGAGTATCAGCTCGAAAGCCTCTTTCAACATCATACTTATTCTAAAGGTTAGTGTTAATCATCTTGCAGTCATATTTACTCTTGAGATAAGCAAGGGTATCGCAATCGGGTACCAGACTTTTTCCCGTGAAGAACTGTGTTCACAGTAGCTCCAATTGAAGGACCTCCTCTTTTGGAATATAACACGTTTAACAGCTATTCCAGAGCTTCTGCAAGTATACTGAGTCTACAGCTGAAAAAAGTTTTAATATAAATTGATTTTTTCGTCGCCTTATTTACCGGGTGTTTAATTCTGTAACTTTCTTGTCAAGTGTTTTCTGGTTGTTTTACATTCCAAATTTTTACATAAGAGAAGAACTTTTTGAAACTGTTTTCGCATTAATTTTTCAGTTTTTTGGAAGCAAGGTTAATTGTTCTGTTCGACAAGTGCGTGCAATTAGTTATAGTTTTCATTGGTTTAGCGTGTTTTAGGTTTGAGCAGTTTAACTTGAAATGTCGAAATTTGTTGCAATTTTGTTTTGATTGTTTTGTCTACCAAAGAAAGTGGCGAATGTCGCACAAGATTCAGGGGCTGGTTTCTTTCTGGCTGTATTCTTTGAATTTTTATTTTAATTATGATATTTTGCGGCAATCGTTTGAATATTTTGCCTTTATTTTATTTTCACTTTTTTATCAATTTGAAGCTATTTTATAGCAAATAATTGAAAATTTTTATTCGCTTTGCTTTTTAGCTTATCTTTTTTTAAAAGTGCTATCAGAAACAAAAGTAAATATTTCCGAAACTTCTGATTTTTTGCAAACTTTCTAGAACAATTTCTCATTTTGAAATGTAAACTTGAGATTATTTTCGCGGCTTGTTTTATTCATCTGGTTCTGCGTATTTTATTTTGTTCAGAATAATATAGTTCAATGATATTTTCTTTTTAGTTCCTAAAAGTTATTTGAAATTTTTTAGTGTTTTTTTGGTACGGACAACTAATTTTTATTGTACTTTGCTGTAAAATTGTTGTTTTTCTGTAAATTTATCAGTTTAAGAATCGGTTGTAGTTTTTATTCAGCTAAAACGTTTTTTTTTCTTCTTCTGAGCTTGGCTCCTATAACAGTATATTTTAAAAAACCGAACAATTTCAATTCGTCTCATTTGACGTATTTGTCTATTTTTAGCGCTTTTTTGCTAGTGATTAAAAAACGCGTAACACAATTTTTTTTTTCATGTTTAAGAGTCGATGAACGTAGTTCAGACTCTGATATAGGTCGCGATAGTTTTTTTCAGGCTCAAGTCTACTTTTTCGCGATTTGACTTTTGACTTCTTAAGTTCAGTTCATTTCCTTTGATAAAGGAAGGCAAACTCCACTATCAAACAGCAAAAGTGTAAAAGTCACAAAAATGTGATCGACTTCTAGTTTCGGAAGTGAAATTTATTTTTCAGAGTTCTCAGCCAAATAAAAGTTATTCTTATTGATCCAGTTTTCTCAAATTGAGTTAATTTTTTTTATCAAAAAGTGCCATTCATAAACTGTTCCGGAAATTCGCAGAGCTTTAAGAGCATCTATTTTTTTGAAAACTCGAAAGATGAGATTGTAAAAATTGCGTTTTTTTCTACTCTTTTCCAACTTTCTGTTCGCTATGTTAATGAGTGTTTTCCTACTTTTTAGCATCGCGAGTGGCGCGAAGCTCTGCTTCCTCTAAGTGTAGTCCGTTTTTTGTCTTTTGATTTTTGTGTTTTTTTTTCAGCATCGCAAGCGGCGCAAAGCTCTGCTTCCCCTAAGTCTTGTAAGTTTTTTTTCTGATTTTTGCTTTGATTTATCAACGAGACTTGCCTCAGTTGAAGTAGTGTTCGACCTATTTAAATAACTTATTAAGTGTCAAAATTGAGTTCTACGAAAATTTGATACTTTTTTCAGGTGGTGCACGGCATGTGTGCTACACATGTATTGCCGCGTCTGGGAGCAACGCTTCCATTTTGCACTATGGACATGCAGGCGAACCAAACAGCAAGCTGATAAAGGCAAGATGAAAAAAGTTAACACAATTATGTAAATTACTTAAAACACCGAACTAAATGAAGCCCGAAACACCGAAATGTCCAAGTTTTGAAGTACCTGTTCCAAATTAATTGGCAAACTAGTCGAAGATTTTGATTTTTTCTGGAAAAAAAAGAATGGAGGTGTGAACAAATGTTTGATTAAAGGACGGAGATATGTGTATGTTTGACATGGGCGCTGAGTACTACTGCTACTGTTCCGATATCAGTTGCTCCTTCCCTGCCAATGGAAAGTTCACGCCTGACCAGGCCGCCATCTACAATGCAGTGCTCAAGGCCAACAGAGCTGTGATGGATGCTGCCAAACCAGGTGAGATTAATACGGAAGTTCAACAAACTATTTTGATTCTGGAGTGCTGTACTTGAACCACTCATATGATTTAGATTAATTGTAGAAAATGGTATTTGTACCCAGTTGGGAAAAGGGAAGTGTACTTATACAGAAAAGTTACAATCAATACGCTTCAATAAAGCCTACAAATGCCATATTTGACACGCTAGCAAAAATTTACCTGGTTGGGGTGGTATTTCTAGTTCTAAAGGCTAGCTCAGAAATTTTTATTTATCGCCTTAAAAAGTGGAAATTCCAGATCCAGCTCTGATTTTTGTATCTTAGATGACCATCCAGATTTTCTAAGTTTTTAAAAGCTCTAGAACGACCCCAGGCAAATTATTGAAAAACGTGCCAAAAGTGCTTTAAATAGGCTTTTTTTGGAAGATTCCGACGGACAAATTTGCGTTTTTTTTTGTATAAAATTGTATTATGATTTGTCCTGACGTGTAAATGTATGTAAGATAAAGGCCATTGCCGAAACTTTTAGTTTTATGGATCATATCACCTTGACTAATTCATGACCTTCCTTTTGAAAATAATAACATATTAGTTGTTGTGCAAGATTTGCTTGCGCGTGACAGTGTAATTAAACGTCATATCATTTTTTTCTGTCTGGTGTTATATTCTCTGTTCAGTTTTTGACGCGTATTCGTATGGTTACTTCTCAATGTCTCATGCATTTGGTTATATCATCTGGAAACATTTGAAGCTCACTTTAATTATGACTCTTGGCTTAAGTATGCGATGTATCAAACACTTAAATTATCCGGACTAAAGTTCTTTCTTACATGGTTGCTATTATAGTATTCATTACTTACTATTAATAGCGCAGACTATGTATAAAAATACAGAAATATCCGTATATTTTGAGTCTTCAATTTAATAATCAACGGTTGAGTGTGGTTTTTAGATCTCTTTCTGATCTGATTTTTGCAATTAGTTTTGAATGTGTTAGGGGTCATGTGGACTGAGATGCATGTATTAGCCGAAAGAGTACTTCTGACAGATCTCAAAGCCATGAATTTGGTGACTGGTGATGTCGATGAAATGTTGTCTGCCAGAGTAGGAGCAGTTTTCATGCCCCATGGACTTGGGCATTTTTTGGGAGTGGATGTCCATGATGTACATGGGTATCCGGAGGACGGTCCAAAAAGACCTTCAGAAGCAGGTAAAGTTTATCTATTAAATAGTAAGCAAAATCGTGAAAACGAGAATTCAACGTCGGTAATTTTTTATGGCCGAGTATTGGAAGCATGTTTACCCTTGCGATAAGCAATGGGGTATAGTTACTAGACCTTGTTGTTCCGACCATTTAAAATGGGAGGAAATTTGTATTCGGGTGTTTTTATGTTAACAACGTGATATTTATTGCTTTTCAATTTCTCAGAAACCTTATTTTTCTGGATGCTGATTGGCTGGTGAGCCTACTTCAGACTCTCAATTTTTGCAAACGAGGTGAAGCTCATTATAGTAGATCCAGTTATTTTTAGGATATAATTAGCACTATTGAAGCTGAGCAAAAGAAGTGAAACTTAAAAAACTTACCGAAATGGCTTAAAACCATAAAAACGGAACATTAAAATATCATAAATGCTTCCAATACTCAGCCACGAAAATTGCCGAACTTGAATTTATATTCTTCACCTAAAAATCACAAATTGTGAAAGATTTGTCACAGGGTACAAAATTAAATTGATCTTATCGTGCAATTTGTCCTTTATTGAGATTTTTTGAGCAATGGTTTACGAGTTGACATAGTATAGATAAAAAGATAACAAGATAATTGCTTTATCTTGTTATCTTGAAATAGATAACAAGATGCGAAATTGCTTTCAGGACTTTCCAGTCTGCGTACTGCGCGTGAACTGAAAGCGGGCATGGTGCTAACAGTGGAGCCAGGATGCTACTTCATCTCTAAACTCCTCAACGACGCCTTCCTTGATGACAACAGAGCCAAGTTCCTCAACAGGGACAAATTAAGAGACTTCTTCGGATTCGGAGGAGTGAGAATAGAGGATAATGTGGTGATTACTGAAACAGGGTGTGAGTTGCTAACTGAAGTTCCGAGGACTGTAGAAGAGATCGAAGCAGAAATGAAGAAGACGAATCTGAAAGTGGAGTTTTGACCAGCTCAATACTTCAACTTCGTTTAAACAATATTATGATTTTCAAGCCAGAAACGTATGACCAAAAATTGTATGAAATTTGGCGGAGAATTCCAAAACGGCAGAAGACTGTCGCGTGGCATCTCATGTTTATGCTCACTTCCAATTTCGTGGTGCCATTCGATTAAATTAAGCATTAGACTTTTACTCCAAAATTAAAATCTAATTGCCTTCTATTTTACTACGAAAAGTCATCTTGGTTTTATATCCTTCTTAACATATCTATCAAATCATGTTACTCAGCGCTGCATTTTTTAGTCAACTTGTTAAAAACCTTCAAAATGACATAAGAATGCTTGATTGTATTTTGGGCTCATACCAAAAATTGAGGTGTAATACTTCTCATTTTTTATTCATTTGGGTTCCAAAAAATGTTTCTAATTTAAGCTGTAAATAATTAATTGCTGTAATTGTGCCATTAGTCTATTCTGCGACTGCATTTGGCCATTTTTCAATTATTATTGGCCTTAAAGTCGTCATTATGTCGACATGTGGCGCATTGAAAAACTATCTAAATATATCATCAATACCACAAATTGCACAATTTGAGACGGAGATTTGTTTTATCGCATTTGGTGGTTTATCAATTAAAAAATAGACTGATTAGAAATAAATATTTAAAACCGAGTCTTGTGATTAAGAGATTAGATAAGCATTTTATATCCAGATTCCCATATTGAGTACCAGATAGCAATAAAAAGTAGCATTGTCGTTCATAAAATCAAAGAGCTATCAATAATAATTTTCTACAGAACTAAAGTGTTTTTCCTGTATTATATCAAAAGGATTATGTCGACATCTTATTTTTTATTCCTAAAAACGTTCATTTGAAACGTTTCTCGTCGTTTGATTTCAACACAAGGAAACATAAGACAAAAAATGTGGTTGATTTATCTTCTGATTTATATGTACATAACATGGAAAGTTTAGTATCGTTTTTTTTCAAATCTCGTCTTGACCAAGAGTTATAGAACTAAACAGCTTAAAAACTGACTAGTTTATTCACATCGAGTGAATTACTCGTTCATTCACTTGATTCAAAACAATCTCAAACGACAAAACTTCTTAATTTATATGCATTTGTCACCAAAGATTCACATCTGGTGTAGAAAATCGGTTTGATTACATTTTTTTCATTGTTTATCATCTGGACAAAGAGCAGCATCAATTTAATACCCGATGCGATTGTTGGGAATCCAGGATTACGCCATATTAGTTCATTTTTTGTCCAGGAAGTCACTACCAAATCACTATAGATTTGAATTTTCTGAAATATATATTTCGCTCTGACAAGAAATTGTTCAAGACTTTTTTGTCCTTGAAGCACCTTGACTCTTTTTCTGTTGACATTACTAGGTTTTGTATTATTTTTTGTTTTCAACACATTCAGATTATTATTTTAATTAAGACGTTTTATCCCTAAAGGAGAGGACCAACATATGAGCTGTTTGGCTTTTCACGGAGAACCGCTGTTGTGCCCCTGCTTAAGAACTACATGCATTTTTTTGTTTATTTTTCTGGGATGGGTAATATTGCCTCACCCTCAAGCAACGAGCACGGGCCATGGTGGGCCTCGAACATCCGATCTTTCGATTGAGAGGCGGAGATGTAACCACTTCACCACCGCTCCCCTTTAATGATGATTAACAGATAAAATGCAAACAGTTATCGCCCGATTAGCTTGAGCTCATATTTTGTTCCATCTCTGTTTCATTTTTCTTGACTCAATAACGACTATGGTTATTATGATTTGGTAGTTCTTGTAGTTAATTGTAATTGTTTCCAGATAGTGCATGTCTAGTAAATCGACCAGTGGTCGCAGTGGCGGCAAGCGACAGAGGAACATCGCCGTGTTGGGCTACTGGAATGTGGGCAAGACATCAGTAGTGCAGAGATATGTCCACGACGCCTTCACCCCTAAATACTTCCCCACCATCGAACAGACCTACCAAAAGACACTCGCCTTCCAGGTCAGATTCCAAAAGAGTAGATGAAGAAGAATTTGTTTGAATCAAAACTCATTTTCATTTTAATTCAGTACGATTAATCAGCCATCAAATAATTGAGAGGATTAACAACAGCCATAGTTTATGCCCTCTTAATGGTTACCTTCAACGTGAGCTTAAATTTTGAACATCATAATTAGCAACGAACAAAATAAAAATATGAAGAATATAATATAAGCATATCCTTAAATTGCCTCAAACTCAAAAGGGCATAGACCTTCGAAGAGTTGAAGTATTAATAGCAGGTAGTACTAGTACTAAAAGGATAATATTATAGATCCCAGGTGCATCAATTTGTTTTCACAACATATCTGATTTTATGCAGAAATGGCTGACGTTAACATTTTCTGTACACATGCAATTATCTGGTAGTAGGAGTAGAATGCGTCAATGATAATTGGATGCGATATTTTAAAGATCCGCAGAATAATTATGTATTTTTCTGCATTGTTCAGAATATGGAGATTGATCTGATGATCACAGACACTGCTGGTCAAGAAGAGTACAGTCTCCTCCCCACCCACGCACTGCAGTCATGTGACGGGTACCTGCTAGTCTATGCGGTCAACGACATCAATTCCTTCGAGGGCCTCAAGAACATATACAAGAAACTGCAGGAAACCATTGGTACATCCAGACCCATCATTGTCGTCGGAAACAAACTCGACCTAGGGGTGAGTGGGGGCTTTATCTGCCGAGTCTCATTGAAGTTGTCGTCAATTGAGATTCAAAATTGAGTCCAGTTTGCTTTAGCTGTGGTCTGATTGCTGTCAAAAAAGTTTTCTGATTGCGCTTTCAGAGCCAATATATTGTTACCTTTGCGATAAGCAAGGGTGTTGCCACCGAATGTAGACTTTTCCCATGAATAACTTTGTTCGCAGGAGGACAAAAGTTGGTGGTCATCTCCATCTGTACTTTCGGCAAAATACATACAATTTCAGAATCTTATCACGATGACGCAAATTACAGCAGATATGTAGCAGAGACAGTTTTGAGGTTTAAATGATTGTTTTCAGGACAGACAAGTGCCATTTGAAAAAGGGAAGGAGCTGGCCACGAGGTGGGACATGCTATTCGCCGAATGTTCCGCCTGCTCGGGCGAGGGAGTGGAGGAGATATTCACAAACATTCTCGCACACATCGAACGCGAGAGACGCTTGGTCTACCTTGGTACACGCAGTCCACGCTCAGACAAGTGCAGACTCATGTAGCCCCCACCCCCTTCCCCCACCCCCACACATCCCCCCGCAAATAACGTCTCCTGATGCTACGCGCTCCCATCGATAGTCGTTGAGGTGCTACTCTTCTGCTACGCGCTCCTGATAGTCTCATTACTGGTTTGCTTCGCGCTCCTAGGTGCCAGAATGAGAGAGCACTGTATCTTGAATTGGCATCCAACTGAGTCTTGTTCACCCGCAGAAGATAATAATTTAAAAATTTGAAATAAAACTTAAAAACTTTTTAAGTGTTAAAGATTTCCTTCTCTTTATTTGGAAAATGTATTGTGCATTTTTACTGCTGTGTCGTGGTTGCTTCATTTGATTAATGCTATTTGTCTTCTTTTATACCAGTAGCAAATACGAAACATAATGACGCCATGTTTAGTTATTTAGTTTTTAAATTCTTAGCAGTTATGCTAGTAAAAACTTTCAATGTATTTTTCCTTGCAACATTTTCTTTTCTGCTTACAATTATACGTGCAAATCCTCTGTCAGCGCCAATCAGAATCAGCTTACAATTTTTCCGATGATTGATTTAAACCAGATGATTGATTTTTTGGAATGCAACGACGCCACTAGTTCAAATAAAGTAAATCTTTTCTGTGCACGGCATTGTTGCACTGTTAATGTGGTTTTTTAACTGTACAAGCTATCTCTGCTAAATTAAAGTGACATCAAAGCTGCCGTTTTTTTGTTAGCCAAGCATGTGTGACTACGGTTATCGTGTAGTCAAAAAAAGAACACCTATTGTTCTGATTTCAAATTGAAATAGAACCTTGTTTTTTATTTTGGATTGAAATAGCAAAACTTGTTTTTTTAACATTTTTTTCTACATTTTTTAAAATCCCTTAGCCGCACAATCAAGGAAATCTAAATATAACACCGTATAACGACAGTCGCCAGTTGTTGAAGTTTCCTTGGCTGCAGCTGCTAGATTGATGAAATTCAAAAAGCGCTGTTAACAATGGAGCTGAAGACTACCAGTTTTTTCAAGATTCTCTCGTAATTAACGTGCAACTTCCACCTCAGTGCTAGTTCTAATAGTGCGCCCGAATTGAAAAATCTCTCTGATAACCTTCAACCTCGGGCTTGTCGACTCGGCATAGGCAAGATCAAGTTGGAGATCCAAAAACTCTACTCTTTTCCACTTCATCCCACATTTGACTATATCTTTTGAAAAGCCATCGTAACCTTATCAAAATGCATTTTTTGGCATAGTGAACAAGCTATTTATTGAACAAGTTTGTTCTTCATACCTTGCTTCGTAACATCACGCATTAGCCGTAAACATCTTTGGAAGTAAAAATTTTGAAATTTGGGGTAAGGGGAAAAGAGCCAGAAACTTAAATACTTCTAAAAGATAACATATAACAGAGTCAAAGGCCAAGGTTGTGGTAGATGATACTTTATTTGATTTTTCTAATGAGCAGATTTCGGTACACTTTTTAAAACAGAAACTACACAAGAGCCTTTATTCCTGGCAAGCGCATTGTCCAGCGTAAATAAGTCTTTACTTGTAGAAAATTCTGATTCTGGAAATTTTCTCCTAATTGCTTAATGATGTGTTTCTTTGGTTGTCCTTGGATACGCTTTGAGTTTATCGGATATCTTTTCGTTAACATATGTGCCGTAATCAGTTCTCCTACACATTCTTCCTCACGGTCTCCTTTAAAAATGCCACAATTTTTTCCGTGACGAAAACCGTTCTAGTTCTTTTCAGAGGTCCTCGGTCGGTGACATTTGTATTTCTGTTTGACCAGTATAATATAGACTAGTAAAATATAAAATTTTATCCAAACCCAAACCTAACTTCTACACCTAAGTCCAAAATTCTGAAAACACCCCTTAAGCTTACTCGTCAGCATATGCCTAATGTTTAAGACTAAAGGGTGGTTAAAACTATTAGAATAGTTCAAATTTGGATGTTTGTGAAAGCGCATGTCTTCACGTTTCTGATTTCACTGAGGAGCACTCGTGGCTTCTCAAATTTAAATAAAGTCGATTTCTTGCAGAAGCGTATTGGAGTGCAGCATTAATCCTCAGTGATTGTGCTGAACTAGATTTTGCCGAGGACCAGCAAAATATAGTTGTAATTCCTGATTAGGTCCAGACAGAACAGGCAAAGGTTGCGCAGTATTAAAAATTGACGCTGGTGTAAGATTCTTACCAAACAAGGTGCATTCACGGCATTTCTCGCACATATCAAAGATCTGACGGTTCATGAATGGCCACCAGAGGTATTCAGAGACCGCCATCGAGGCCTCTGGTCCCGGGTGAAATCGGTGAAGACGAGTGAGCACGGCTTGTCGAAGAGGTTCGGGTATGGCCAATTTATTATCGATAACTACACAGTTATTAACCACAGCTGCTTTAGGCCAGAATTGGGCCATATACGAACCAAGCTTGTTGAAAGATGTGATGTCCTTGTTTATGATAGCGCGTTTCATAGGGCCAAGAAAACGATCCTCCTCTGTCAATTCCAGGTCTGCATCGAAGAGGCCAGGCAGTCCCACGATCTCCTTCTTTGACGAGGAAAGAAGATATTTGCCCCCATTGACAGCGAGAACTCCAATGTTTGCGGCCGTGTTAACTTTTCCTGGCTTCGATAGGCGACACTGTCTCATCGCCTCCAATAGCTGGGTGTGACCAATTTTTTAGAATTGAAGTCCTGGTGGCAACAAAACGGGTTTTTGCAGCCCGTTCACGGGCTCGGTTTCGTTGGCGTATTTGATCCAATCGAGAGATGCGGTTCAGTTGACGAGATCGTATTGGTGGCCTTGGACTGGGTCGGCGAAAATTCGGAGAACTTATCGGAAAAGACTCCACGAATGTCAGTTAATCAGCCTGCTCGGCAGTTGAGTTAAGTATAGTCTGAGGGTCAGGTTGAGTGATAGTAGCATTCAAGTCGATAGTAGTGGGTCCGGTAGTAGTTTGTTTAGCGCCAGGCGACTGTCATTTTGAACAAGGTTTCCCTGGATTCCAAAATATGCAGTACCTCCCACAAATGTTCCAGTTTCCCCCACAGATACCTGGAATTCAACCGAACCCACAGTTCCAACAAAACCAGAACTCATACACAACAGAATGTCCAATTCCCTCCGAACCAGATGTACCCTCAACAACACCAACAGCAACAAGCGATAGCCACGCAGCCACAACAGAACAACCCGTTTGCCCAACAAGCCTCACAACTAATGATGCAGCAGGTGCACACCCAAAATCCTAGTACATCAGCAGTACGCACTGGATCATAAGTTTTGTGACCACTGCGGGAAGTTTGGCCATACTATCAGCCAATGTTGGTACAAACCCAAGCCACATGGACAACAGCAACAAAATTTCCCGTTCCAAATGGAACCAAAAAAACTAATTCAGCCACAGAGTCAGTCAGTCAAATCATTTAAATCACAAAGATCGCGAAAATCACGCAAAATAAAACTTCAAGACGTAATAGACAATGAAATTATTGATCTGTACGCAGTCATCCCAAATGAAGGAACAGTGGTAACCTATATGAAAATAAGATTCGCGCCAAGCGTTCAAAGAAGAGTATCGATTGACACAGGAGCATGTGCGAACGTTATTTCGAAACGCACATTCGATGAAATCAAGAAAGAAAAAACATTATTCGCGCCCTATAAAAACGCAAAATCAAGCCTCAAGCAAGTGAGAATGGCAGGAGGGCAACTGGTGTCAATAGAAACCGAAGTAACTATTGAATTTCATATGGCAGACATGAACTTTACGGAAACGTTCCTAGTGTTGAATTCGGCCAATTCAACAACCCTCGGAAACCCTTTCTTTAAAAAACACCATATACATGTTTGCCCAAAATACAACTTACTTCACTTTCCCGATTTGACACTCCAAATCAATGAAATTAAACCCGTCAATGCACCTAGACGCACCAACCGATTTAAAAAATTCCCTCTAGTTCTCACCAAGAAACACATAATTGCACCCCACCAAACAGTAATAGTTGAATGCCAATTGCAAGATATCTCGACGGACATGGAAAAAACGTCGGGAATCGTAGTTCCATCACAAGAACTAGAAGAAAAGTGCCAACTAGCAATAACTTCATCTATAAATGAAGTAAACAAACAAAGCATCGTCTACGTCACAGCATTTAACATGACGGAGCATCACCTATCGTTGCCTTTTAAAACCGAAATCGGAAAATTTTCGATATTCACGCTAACCCAATACGAAAATCTAATACAGATCGAGCCGCAAACTTTGGCATTAGCGAAAATGAACCAGCCGGAAAATGTCGAACTCGGTATTAACGAAATAATTTCTCAAAAAACGAGCCCATCAGAAGCCTCAGGAAAAAAGCCACCGCCTGAATACGAGAAGTTTTGGTTCCCGACACCAGAAACGTGCCCTAACCCGGGTTCTCTTCCGAGTATTCAAAGGGAAATTTATGACCAAATCCTCTAATTTCAAGGTCTCGAGAAAATTGAACCAAATAATAACATTCAAGACCGGATGACATTTCTGAAAAATTTTCAGTGGGAGAATTCCGTGTTGACAAAAGACCAAAGGTCAGAAGTAGAACATTTACTTATCGAATATGCGGACATATTTGCCAAACACCGATTTGACGTGGGCTATAATTCCGATCAAGCTGAGCATCAACGCCCATTGTACACGCAGGGACCACCTACGCCCATCCAATTAAGGAATGAACTGACGGTTGAATTAGCCCTGATGCACTACTTTGGACTTATAACAACACTGTCACACTCTAAATACAGTAGCCCGCTGTTTGCGCACCGAAAGCCATCTGGAAAATTGCGGATGTTGATTGACCTGCTACGCATCAATCACTCAATCAAATTCGACTATATAAATAGCAACTTCCCAATATCAAACATGACCGATGCATCAAACCACTTTGCCGAAAAGAGTTTGTTTACCAAATTGGACTGTTCGCAAGCATACCATTGCGTGCAAATGGCAGATGACCTTTCGGTCCAACTTTTTGCATTTAACTTCGGCTCGCGGACATACGCCTACAAATGCCTAGCTCAAGGTCTAAGTAAATCGGTCACGGGATTCAGTTCATTCATCCGCCACTACCTCAATCCCTGCCTAGCAGCGGATTTGTGTACACAATTCATGGATGATATAGGAAGTGCGGTGAATAATTATCAGGAACTAATCCCCACGTTAAAGAAAATATTCGAATGCATCCGAAAGTCAGGTCTAAAACTCTCACCTAAGAAATGCGAAATAGGAACGCAAAGGATGAAGTTCCTAGGAAATGTAGTGACACCACAAGGAGTTACGCCAGGGAAAGCAAAAATTTCTACATTTCTGAGTAAAATAAAATGCCAAGAACCGTGAAACAAGTAAAGAGACTCATTGGGTTTGTACAGTTTTTAGGAACTACATGCAGAGTCTTGGTGAAAAATGAATACCTTTTTATAAGCTGCTGAAAAAACAGATCGATTTTGAAATACGATTTCGAAGATCACTATAAAAACCTTGAAATTCTAAAAGCAGACTTGATACAAGCGACCACGTTGACACTCAGACTACCCAAGCCAGGACTGCAGTATGTCATTCTGTGCGATGCCAGCTACCACGGTACCGGATTTGTGCTGATGGTCGAAGACTACGTAAAAAACGAGAAAAACGAAGTGAAGACGTACGAACCCGTCTCGTTCGGCT